AAGCCAAAACAAGACAAAGACATCACACGCCAAAATTTAAATTGTAGATTTCTCGCGAACAGTTGTGTTCCGCCTAGGCAATACGGTTGTCTTTAAACTCCTTGTGATTTGACGGCCTTTTTTTTTTTATTGGGGACCCAGTCAGGTAATTAGTTATGATACGTGGGTTTCAAGTCTGATGTTTGAGCAGAGTATTATACATTGGAAAACTTTTAACGTTTTAATAATTGACATGGCACACATTTAAAAGAGAAAGCTTACAATGATGAGAATATTAAAGAAAGAATATAAGAAGATACCAGAACTCTAAGGTAACAAAATGTTGAAAGCCTTTATAAAAAAAAAAATTATAAATTAAGAATTTATGAACAAGTAAAGCTATAATAAAAAGCTTAAATTACGAAAAACTAGTCATTTTTTATTTTTTAAACTACGTGATGGGATTTATATATAGATAGCGAGATAAAGGTCCGAACCCTAATTAAAGAGACAGGGCGCATGCAATAAATGGCTAATTCTAAGTTTTCCATTTTAAATATATATACGTGGCACAAAAGTAACGAATCCTAACGAGTTTTGGTGGAATCAAGCAGCCGGCGTCCAGATTGGGAAAGAAAGAATATACCAAACGTTGGGATTTTTACTTGACTAAATGTATCTGTGTGGGGCCGCGGTTTTGCTGAAAAATACAAAAAAGAAGGCCAATAATAATTTATACACCACATATTGTGGTCAGCCAATCAAAATGATGATCCAATCCACGCGCCCACACCACGCGTCACGTGGGGTTAATAAAATAAAATATCGCATTTTAAGAACATAAACATATGTCTTTTCTTTATTATCAGTGTATGTATACAAACAACATATCCAACTTACATATAATAATGCTTATCATATAGGCCAAAGCCCTTATTTGCACTCTCCTTTTTTTTTTTTTTTCACGGTCAACACATTTCAGAATTTTTCCTCTTTATTCACACCCTCAATTTTTCAAAATTCGTAAAAAACTTAATATTTTAACCCACCGTCAAGACATCGTTAATAACTATTAAAAATTGTAATACGTGACATCAAATAGTAACATAAACGTTATGTTATTTTATTAATCCAATGTGGACTTTTTTTTTATGATATGGCATAATTAAACCATAATTAATTTTAATTTCTTCATTTTCTTCTTTCGCGCATCATCTTTACCATCTTCCTCTTCATCCTCTTGGGTTCCTCATGGAACCAGGAACCCAGGACTTTATGTCACATTTATTAATCCAATGTTGGACTTTTTTTTTTTATAATGTGTTATAATTAAATCATAATTAATTTTAATTTCTTCATTTTCTTCTTTCCCAACATCATCTTCACCATCCTCATCCTCATCCTCCTAGGTTCCTCGCGAAACCCAAGTTCTGAGTTCTTCGTGGAACCTAATTTCACATAAATGCCTACCAAGCTAAGATTTTCATTCACACAATTATAAGTAAACGAATACTGTACAAAAATATGATAAGCATCTTCTACTCCTTTCCCACAAAAAACGAAAAAAATCAAATTGACAACCTGTTCATAAACAATCTCCAAGCAAAAAAACTCACCTTTCCAACAAAAAACTTATTCCAAATTGCTTTGTATAAAATAGGAAACTAAGATAAATACATTCAAAATAAAAAAATGGTCAGAACCCAAAAATTGGGTTCCTCACAGGAACCCAAAAACTAGGTTCGAGAACCCAGATCTGGGTTCCCCGCGCAGGAACCCGAACTGGGTTTTGTGCAGGAACCCAAACTGGGTTCCACACGAGGAACCCAGAATTTGGGTTCCCCATGAGGAACCCATTGAGATGGAGGATGGTGAAGATGATGCCGAGGATGAGGGGAGAAAGAAAAAAATGAAGAAATGCCATTTATGTTACTGTTTGGTAATATTATAATTTTTTAAGAAAAAAATGAAGAAATGCCATTTATGTTACTGTTTGGTAATATTATAATTTTTTGTTGCTCTCACTGCACACGTGGCGTCCACATGTGCAGAAAAGAAGCCACATCATCAAAAAGCAGATCCACATCTGAACCTGACAAATAAGAAAACGCCGCATGTGCCACGTCAATTTTTGGGTGCCACGTAGTGCATTTTTTAACGGTACCGTAACGGCCCGTTAAAATATTGGATTTTTCACGGGTTTTGAAAAATGAAATGTGTGAATAGGAAGGAAAATTTCTTAAAAGTGTTGACAGTGAAAAGGAAATAAATGGAGAGTGCAAATAGGGACTTTGGCCTATCATATATATGACGAATGATTTGTTTACGGTATCGTTTGATACTATTGTAATGTGCTATAGTTTTTTTCGTCTTTTATTATATCCTAAGAGTATTAGAAAATATTAATAAAAATATCTAAAAAGTTAACTAAAATCAATTAAAAAATAAATTTATATTTTTAAATAAAATATTGTATAAAAATTATTTATATAAAATATTTTTAAATATTTACTTAAAAAGGATCTAATCAACCTCATTTGACAAACAGCCATTTAACTATATTATTAAATGAAAATGGAACTCTAAAAGGGCATCCTATATTTCATGGTGTGGTTGGTTCACCAGTAGGGCAGTCTAGAGGGGTCAAAGAGGACCCATTATAGATTCACAGCAACCCATGGTGTGTATATTTCATCTTTGGTTCCCATTGTTAGGTATGAGAGAGTTCATTTGAAAAATTGGAGGAATTGGAGGAATTGATGGAGATGGAGATGGAGATGATTGCAAAAGAAGTGAAAAAAAGCAGAGGTTACTGTCGATGGAGAAGATGAATTGCAGTGGAATCGGAAGATTCGGAGGAGTCAATGGAGATGAGAGGCGATAGAGAAGGAATCGGAGATAGAGATGGAGATGATTGCAGAAGAGGCAAAGGCAAATGAGGGAAAGGCAAAAAGGAGGGACTGGGATTAATAGAACAACGCCGTTTTGAGTTGGGACTCCAAATTTTGTTGGGAGGTAGGACTGATGGCCACTTTACCGATATATATATATATATATTTACCAAATATATATACGGTAAAGTGGCCATCAGTCTTACTTCTTAAAAAAATTTGGAGTCCCAACCCAAAACGGCATCGTTCTCTTAATCCCAGCCCCTCCCCTTTGCCTTTGCCTCTTTTGCCTTTGCCTCTTCTACAATCACCTTCATCTCTATCTCCGATTCCTTCTCCATCGCCTCTCATCTCCATCGACTCCTCCGAATCCTCCGATTCCACTACAATTCATCTTCTCTGGTAACCCCTGCTTTTTTTCACTTCTTCTGCAATCATCTCCATCTCCATCGATTCCTCCAATTCCTCCAATTTTTCAAATGCAATCCCACCCCAGCGGCTTAATCCCCAACACCCACTACTTTAACCCCATTATGCTGCTGCAATTCATCATCTCCATCGATTCTACCGCTGCAATTAACGAAATGATGACCTTGGAGTGCATAAGATCTTCACTAAGGATGTTTATGGATTCGATTTTCGTCCCAACCTTTTGGGAGCGACACAATATTATTGTAATTTTTCATGGCCAAACAATTTTCATTGGTTTGATATTTATATTTATTATAGAGATGCTGAACAATGCAAGGATTGTATTTGGGAAATATATGCAAATGGTCCTCTTCTGACCAATGTAAACGAACAGTATCCGCGGAATTAGCTCAATTTTATTTCAGATGTAAATAGGATGCTTGGAATTAGGACAATGGGGCTCTTCTTCTTCTTTTTTTTTTTTTTCCTTCCAAGAGATGGTATATTGAAAAGAAAATGCCTCAAATAAAAGAAAATAATAATAAGAATAATTATGTTTTCATTAGCCATTTTCTTCTTTGATTCAGTGTTTCGATGATATGTTTAAATCCATTAAACGACATTATTTTGATTATCACGCCCAAAAATATTTACCAATTCCCATAGGGTAAATAACATTATTAGAGCTGAAGAATTGTAATAAAAACTAAAATAAATACTAATAAAAACTGTTGGTCAAAAAAAA